GCCCCACCTGAGGCCCCAACGGCGTGTTATTGCAAACTGTCCCCCACAGGTGACAGCACACTCCTCGCATAAATCGTGGCTGTGGCCCACAAGGAACTCCACCGACGGCCCCAGCAGCGTGGTATTGTATGCGGTCCCCGACCCATTTCGGCACACCCTCGCACGGACTGTGGCCCCGCACGGGGAATTCACCGAAAACCGCAATGGCGTGTTGTTTGTTTTGGATACGGGTTCCCCCAAATGCCGGCCAGCACTCTCCTCACAGGCGTCGTGGCCCCACAGGGGGGGGGGGAGGGGCAACCACTGGCCCCAACTTCGTGATCGTGCATTCGGTTTCCCGACTGCGTGATATTGCATGCGTTGCCCTACTAATCCCACCAACCCTGTGGGCGTAGGTGGTTTAACGGACCTCGTCTTTTCCCTGTTAAACCCCCCCCGTCCCCTGCTCGGGGGAGGGATCTGTCACTGCTCCTTGTTAATATTCGCCCCCTCCCCCATCCGACCGTGGGCCAACCCAGCACATGCCCCCACCACCACCATCCCTGTCTCAAAACGATACAGGCTACATTTTGCCGTCGGATTTGGAGCATGCGCGAGCGCCTCGCGACCAAACTCTGCGTTGGCTTGTGACAAGGACGGTTGGGGTAACGTCAGATTGCTCGCTGCGCGCAGGCCCACCATCCCTGACAAAAATGATACAGAAAGCACGTTGCCTCTACAGATGAAGCGTGCGCGGGCGCCCCGCGACCATTTTGAATTGGTCGACAACGGCAGGGGTGCCGTCATATCGCTCGATGCGAGCAGGCCAACCCTCCCTGTGAAAAACACTACAGAATACACTTTGCCTCCACATGTGGAACATGCGCCGGCGCCCCGCGACCACCTTGGAGTGTTTTTTTTCGACAGGGACGGCAGGGGCGCCGGCACATTGATCAAATATGGAGCACGTGCCGCACCTGGCGCGCCTGGCTCGCTTGGGCCTCCGCGGTACCCGTAGCGCACATGTCACGCGTGGCGCGCCTAGGCATTGTGCTGACACTCCCCTGGGCTTGTGTTGGGAGGGCGGGTGGGGACAGCGAAGCGGCTCGCGGGCAAAGAGGGGGCCTCGGCCCCTCTCCCCATCCCCCCCCCCCCTTGGGGCCTGGGGAAGGGGGGGGCGAAGGGTTCGGGCGCCCAAGGTGGCCCAAGATGGCGTTGAGAGGGTTTGAAAAAAGCCCACGATGGGGCTCCAAGATGGCTCAAGATACCTCGAGGTGGCGCAAAACGGCCGCCGACAAACGTCCAGGAGGCCTCAGGACGGTCCCAAGGCGGTTCCAAGTGCCCTCCGCGCCCTGCACGGATCCCCCCAGAAGGCCATTGCTCGACAACCGAAGGAAAATCGATGTGCTTTGTCTTCTCGCCCTTGGCGCTTCCGATTGGCTTTGGAAGTCTTACGACGGCCCCAAGACGGCCCAGGAGATCCCCAATAGAGGCCCAAGAGGACCCCAAGAGCGCCCCGACGGCGCCCCGAAACGGCCCCAGGGCGCCATATCTTGAACCTCCGGAGGGGTTCATTGCTCCCCCCCCTCTTTTTGAACAGCGTGCCCGAAATTACCTCCAAAGCCCCTCAAACAAAAAATCCTTGGAATGCCCCTGGACCCCTCCAAAACCCCAGAAGGGGGCCCCAACAGCGTCCCAAGTGGCTGCGGGGGGACCTCAAGAGAGACACATGATGGTTCCAAGAGACCCCCGGGGAAAAAAACATGTCCAAGGCGGCTGTTGCGCTGCATGCTTCCACGCTTCCCTGCCCCAGGCAACTCGCCTGGCGATCTGTACCTGGATGGGTCGGCTGGGGATACTTTTTCCTCGCGGGCGCAAGCGGAAGCGCAGGCGCCGAGTGGAAATGTCCGGGCCACGGGCCGATCTATTCAGCGACGCGCGAGCTTAAAATCACAGCGACCGACCCCTGGATCAGGACCTACCGCCGGTGGGGCACCCCGGCGGGGATACCCGAAGCGTCCCGAGCTTCGGCGCGCACCCCAGGCACGTCTCGCGGCCTCGCACAGGGGGGCCCACCGAGGGTGCAAGAAGCGCGGGCGCCGCACGCGGCCCCCCACCAAGTGCAGCGCGCGCACCCCTCACACGTGTCTGCAGGGGCCCTGGGACACACAAGTACATACACACAGAACGGGACTCACCATCTTTTCGGGGTTGGCGTCTTCCCCCCCACTGCCCACATTTTCCCACATTCTGTGCGGAATCGACGATGAATTGTGTCGGTGAATCCTTCCCCCTCCTGAGTTCCACGGCCTCACAAGGAGCCCCGCCGAACGCCCCAGAACCGCAGCGTTGCAAACAGGACCCCCCGCGCAATCCTGCGCGACCTCCGCGCGTGCCCTGGCCCCGCAGGAGGCCCCGAAAAGGCAGGGCCCCCGCGCGCCCCCGCGCCCGCGCGCGCGCCGCATGGCAGCGCGGCGCGGACGGACCGAACACAGAAGAACACCCCTTCAGGAGCGCAAGGCCCTCCGCCGGCTCAACTGGGGGATGCTCGAGGCCCCCCCCCAGGATGCGCAAGCAGTCCGATCGAGTCAAAGCTCGGCCTGGGATCGGGCGCGACTGTGTGAGACTTCGAGCATCACTGCTGGCGCTCGATTGAAAATTGCACGAAGGCGTCTTCGCGCGTTGAGGATGCGCTAGAAACTAAAAACCCAGCAGGCACGAAGAACACTCGAGCCCCCCCGCCACCCCGAGCCGACCTTGACCTTGCACCTCGCTCTGACCGCGCTCGCGGCCGCATATGGCGGGGTAGGCCGTCAGGGTGGTTGTCGCAGAGGCATCCTAGATGGGGCCCGAGGGTCCGAGGATCGCGCCGCATCGCCGAGGCATCGGCGACGCATCGGCGATGCATCGGCGATGCATCTGCGACGTCGGCGGTACATCGGCGACGCCGGCGCGAAAAAGATCGGGCCCCGCATCGGGCCGCTTCGGCGATTCGTCGGCGATGCGGCGCGATCCACCGACCCCATCTACTCAGATCCCATCTGGGAGGCCTAGACCTGCACATGCGCCACTCTAGTCTGACAGGCTTGGGGAACTTGTAGTCCTGTTCGACCGTGACCTGTAGGGCTCGAGGATCCCTTAGGAAAGTATCAGGATTCCTTCGGGAATCCATCGGATTCATGTGGAAATCCATCGGATTCTTTCGGAAATCCTGAGGAATCCTTAGGAAATCCTTCGGACCCCATCCAGGCGACCTGGATGTCGCCCTCTGCCTCCAAGCTCTGGGTAAGGTCTGGCGTCGCCGGGACGCGCGTAGAGAGGGCTGGTTTGCTTGCAGTGCCGCAGGCCTCGCCCGATGCGCAGGCACCCATGCAGCTCCGCCTGCCCGCCCGCAGGACAGGATCGCGAGGAGGGGGAGGAGGAGGAGGAGGAGGAGGAGGAGGAGGAGGAGGAGGAGGAGGAGGAGGAGGAGGAGGAGGAGGAGGAGGGGGGAGGTGGAGGAGGAGGAGGAGGAGGAGGAGGAGGGAGGGAGGGGGGGGGGGGGAGGAGGAGGAGGAGGAGGAGGAGGAGGAGGAGGAAGAGGAGGAGGAGGAGGAGGAGAAGCAGGAGGAGAAGCAGGAGGAGGAGTACGAATACCAGGAATTGAGGAGGAGGAAGATGAAGACCAGGAGAAGAGCAGGAGGGCCGGGATGGGGGAGGGATGAGGAAGGGACGAAGCAGGAGAAGATGAGAAGCGAGCGAGTGAGCGAGGAGGGCGCGAAGATGCGGGAGGAGGATGGGCAGAAGGGATGAGGAGGACAAGGAAGGAGAAAGGAGGGAGGGCGAAGGCGCGGAAGGAGGGGCAGGAGGACGACGACTGGGAAAAGGAGGGCGACGACCATGGCTATCCTCCGCATACATATCCTAATCCTCGTCACCTTCAGCACACTCATCGGCATCGTCGTCTTTCTCATCATCTTCAACACCATCATCCGCCACCGTGCCGCTGAGCACGGAGTGGGCGTGTCCTCAGGTCCTGGGCCCAATCCTCTAAGCCCGCATCCTCACTCCTGGGGAGTCTTGAAAAGGCCCGACCCCTCGCTCTCAAATCTTCCGGGGCTTCCCGCGTGCCACCTGGGCTTTGCCAAGTGGTGGCGCGTAAACTTGTCGGGCCCTAGAGGGCCCCAAGACGGGCCAAGAGGGCCCAAAGCGGCATGCAAGACGGCCCAAGAGGGCCCCGCGACGCCCAAAGATCGGCCCAGGACGCCCAAGATGGCCTCAAGATGGCCCAAGAGGCCTCCAAGCCCAAAGAGGCCTCCAAAAGACCTCCCAAGAGGGCCTTCAGGGGCAAAACAATTGAGTTGCCTTAGGTTGTTGAAGAATTTTGACGTTCTCGCCTTTTCGGCTTTCCAACGCTCCAGAACGGCCCAAGAGGTCCTCAAGACCACCCAGAAACAGCCCAAGAGGCCTTCAAGAGGGCCCCAAGACAGACTAAGAGCGCCCCAAGACAACTCAAGAGGCGCCCAAGACGGCCCAAGAGGGCCCCCAGACAGCCCCTAGAGGAGCCCACACAAACCGAAAATCCAAGGCTTCCTCCCCAAGAGTCCCCCAGGAGGTCCCAAGAGGCGCCCAGGAGGCCCCAAGAGGCCCCCAAGAGGCCCAAAAGATACCCCAAGAAGCCCCGAAACGGCCCTCAAGAGGCCTCCGAACTGCCTCCAAGAGGCCCCCGAGAGGCCCCTCTTTCATTCTCAATCCTCCCTCCTCTTCCCTTCTCCACACTCGTCCTCGCCCTCATCATTGTCCTCCCCCCTCCTCCCTCCCTTTCCTACATCCTGCACCCCCCTCGGAGGGCGGGAGGGGGCGAAGCAGGGAGGGGGACGGCGGGGGATGGAGGAGGACGGGGGGGTGGAGGAGACGGAAGGGAGACGGGGAGGAGGGGGAGCAGGAACGGAGCAGGCGGGACGAGGGGCAGGAGGGAGGGAGGGAGAGGGGGAGGGGAGGAGGGACAGGCGCTGCAGGGGGGGCTCGTAAGGGGGGCGCGCTTGTTGTTCTTCGCCCCCCCGTCGTCGCAGCCCTCGGTCACCTCGCGCGCAGGGGCGAGCGGCCCGGCGGGCGCGCGCGCGCACCGGCTGCCTCCTCGCTCGAGGAATCGTGGTGGCAGGCACGCGACCGCATCAGCATACAGCAGTTAGGAGCTCGACCACAAAGGAACCTTCCACGAGAAGCCCCATCCCTGAGACCCCAGGATGCGCACTGATTCTTGGTGTGGGAGCGCCACCCTCTCCACAGAAAAACCATCGAACCCCAAGAAGCCCCGGCAAGCAGGGTGCTTCTTGGCATGGGTCTCCACTGCATCCCAAGGGAACACAGTACAGGGTCCTGGACCCCCGTCTTCTTGTGAAGAAAGATTCGCGGCGGGAGATGCTTGGTCGCGAGGACCTCCCCGGGCCTGGGACGATCATGCAACGGCCCAAAATGAAAAGGTCCCCGTGAAGGGGCCCGTGCCTCTGGGGGTCGACGTCGTGCACAAAGCATGACGTCGGAGTTCTGGGACGGGGAGGGAGGTCAAGAGCGACGAGGGAAGAGGGGAGGGGACAGGAGGGGGGGAAGGGAAGGAAGAGGCAGAGTGGTCAAGACAAGCGAGGTGCGCTCGCGCCTCATCTGACATCCGCTCCCTCCCTCCCATTCCTTCCCCATGGCGCTGAGTCGTCTCCATCCGCGGACGCGTGTCATGGACGAACTGCGACTCACACAGAAAGACCACTTCGTGTTATGCGCAGTTGGAATGAAAGGTTTGCGGGTGAGCAGGAGGAAAATAATGAATGAGGACGAACAGCAGCAGCAGGAACTGAAGCAGAGAGATCGGGAGGGAAGAGAAACGAGGCGAAGCGAACGCCGGAGTCGCGCGCGCCCCTCCGGGGAGCCCGCCCGAGGAGGAGGAGGAGGAGGAGGAGGAGGAGGAAGAGGAGGAGGAGGAGGATGGCGCGGGGGCCGTGGCCTCCAAAAGGTGATGCGCAAGCGGACTCGCATGAGGATCACCACTCGGAGTCCCTGGCCGCCAATAACCACCGAAAGTCGTTCTCGTCGATGTTTTGATCTCGTCGTGCTGGCCATCGCTCGGACGTCCATTTCCTGTGTTTTTTTCGGTTTCGTGCGTGGTTTTTTCGCCAAATGATCAAGGACGCTCCTCGATGGCCCTCGCCGAGGAAAAAACGCACACGTCCGAGCGATGCCAGGCGTGGGTGGGTCCCTGAGGGGTGTTGCGTATGCCCAGCGTCGGCGTCGCGAATGTGCCCGTCCGGTGTGGAGAGACTTCCGGATGTCGTCGTCCCACCTTTTCTGCTGCCCTCCATGTTGTCGCCGCCCCCGTTGTCGAATGCGGAGACTCGGGCTCCAATAGTACACTCTGTGCGTCCATCGTGTCAAAGGATGGATCGCCACAGTACTCGCCCAGCGCCGAGCAATTCCTCGGTGTATGTGGGGTACAGCAGGTATGCCATGCTGGAACATCAATGTCTGTGCTCGCCGTGTTCTCCCGTGGATGAAACTGGACCACAAGTCGTCGCCCTCGTCGTGCATGATGCCAGGTTGCGTGCCTTCGTCGTCGCTGGCGTCGCCATGCATGTTGGTTTAATCGGCGGGTGGGTTGCTGCAAACGTCGGCCTCGATGCAATCGACTGGGCCAATGCTGCTGGTGTCGTCATTGTTGTTTTGGCCCGTCTCCGGATGGCGTTGTGGCGCCAGTGTTGCTGTCGTGCGTCTCCTGGGTGTCCCGAGTATCATTCTGACGACCTGTCGCTGTGTGCTGCGTAACTGCTGTTTGATGGGCTCAGTCAGAGTCCGCGTTTCTGCGCCGTACATGCGAATTAATAGGTATGACGGTGCCCCAGTACAGTCACAAACTGTGTCGCAGTGAGTAATCATCGATTGCTGGTGCGTTCTTGTTTGTGGCTATTGACGCAAGCCCATGCTGCGTGGACCTTGCGTTGTGTTTCGGAACCGGGTGCGTTTTGGAAGGTCTCGGTCTGACCCGGAGATGATGGCGTTAGTTCGTGGCAAGATGTCGATGCCAATTCCTGCTGCGTTGGCTATTGGGTCGCGGTGCGAGGCTGGTTGGACATGATCTTGGTGTTCGTCGGGTGCAACTCCAACCCGTGCTGCTTGGCTAAAGTGATGAGGTTGGAGAGCATTGCGTTTAGATTGGGTAGCATTTGGCTTGTCAGCAGGATGTCGTCTGCGAACCAGAAGATCGCGAGTGTCGTCGCGTCGGCGTGACCCAGCTGGACGCCTTGACGCCTCTGCCAATATGAGATCATTGGCACTAGTACGCGCTGGAACAATACGTAAGAAAGAAATGATATCAGCGGATCCCCCTGCTTTGTCCCGCGTGGCAGGTCGAAAGGTTTACACATGGTGTCGATGTAAACCACGGCTGTCTGGCCATGCTACATGAGTCGCAAAAGGTCTACATGCCCAGGCGGGACGCATTGGCATAATAATGCGGCCAACTAGCTGCCGTGCTCGATCGTGTCGAAGGCCTTTCTGAAACCGACGGCTGCAACCCAGAGATTGTGCTTCCATGCGGCTGCCCGTTCACTTAGGATGTCGAAAGTGAAAGTGAAGAGGTGGTCGCGCGTGCCTCTTCCAGGGCGGATGCCCGTCTGATCGTCAGGTTGGTGTCGCTCTAAGGCAGGTTAGAGCCTGTTGTAGAGTAGTCGGCTGAGTGCTCGTACAATGTAAGTACTGTGCAGGTCGGGCGATAGTTCTGCGGAAGCGCTCAATCGCCTGACTTGGAGAGTACGGTGGCGGCGATGTTTCTCCGGCCAGCCAGCGCAGGGGCTTCTGCAAGCATGATCTTAGAATTGCCATACGGTGTGCTGAAGCTCCAGACCTGGCTTTTCAAGAATGCAAGCGCGAATCCCATTCGTGTCTGGTGCTCTGCCGCCCTTGAGCCGGAAGAGGAAAATTGTTGCGGTGAGCTCCGCCCGCGTGCGCGGCGGAATATGAGGTGGCTTGGGCGTTGCGGTTGGCGGCAGATCACGGCTGTGGCAGGAAGTATACAACTGAGTACAAGAATCTGCAAATTTGTCTATGGCCTGTCTCGTTGACTGCTCTCTGCCCTCTGCTCCGACCATTTCAGGAATTAGCGTTTTCCTCCGTCGTGTTTTGATTAATCGGACGTTTTCAGGCCCTTGCACTGCTGCAATCGGGGGATGGCAGGACTGGGCTTAATGGGACCTGGTTTTGTGATCTGTACCGGGGACGCCACCCCCGTCTCATTCCACTAACCGGCATTGCCGTCACCCGAGAAGCACCAGCTACGGCAGACCTGGTTTAGTGATTCCAATCCATATTTTGGGCTTCGGGGCGCAATCACCAACTGGCTCCCCTTAACCGGGGTCCTGGCTATACCCGGTCCAAACTGGCGCTGATTCGCTCCCTCCGGTAAGCGCGCTTCTGTAGTCGAATGCTGTGCCAGATCTTTTTGCTGCTTGTTCGTCGGGCGGTGGTGTTTGCAATAGGCGCGCCGTGGCGCTGCTCGATCGGGTCCTCAGTGATATCGTCGCGCTGCTGGTGCATCAAGGAAACAGGCTTCTATCTACCAGTCTGTACTCCGGATTCCATAATAAAGTAGGGGGGGTCACATTTGGCGGGGGGGTCTGATTTGAGCTGTCTTGAAGGGTTCGGGGGGGTCTGGGCAAAGTGCCGCCCTTTCCTGGATGGTCTGGGGGGTTCTAAAACTTCTGGTCTGGGAGGGTTGTGACCCCCTCCCATTCATTACGAAATGTGGGGTAGTCGTGTTGTCGCGGGTTGCCCGCGGTCGTGGTGTCAGTGGTCTGTCTGTCTGGAGGTTTGCGGAAGAAAGTGTTCACCATGGCGAGCTTCTCGGGCGTGGCCCAGGGTCGCAACCACTGCCCTTTGGAGCTCTCGTCGCCGTCCCCGTGGGGGCACACAAAGCCAGAAGAAGCATTATTGATGGTCGTCGCGACGGCTGTCGGTGCTCGATCTGGGTGCGGCGGCGCATCAACCCGGGGATTGAAATCTGAGGCGAGAAAGGTTCGTACGTTGCGGGCACGGGCCTCCTTTAGCATAGCACCAATCCGGTCGCGCATGCTTTGTATGTGTGCGTCCGTATACCATGCGTGTGGGAAGTATGGTGAAACTAACTGTAATCGAATGCGCCCCGTTTTGTTATTCATGGTGGCAACTCTTGCGCTGATTGCCTGGGATTCGGAGATCTGACAGCCCCAGTGCTTGTGCAAGAGAATTGCTACTCCATAGAGTGACCCAAGGCTGTTTTGGCTATATCCTCCAGGTCTCGTTGATCGAATGGCATCTCAGCGATGATGTTATACGTCTTGTAGAAGCTCCTCGATACGGTCGTCAGTGTCCAATGACCGTTCATTCTTATGAATTATGTCGGTGATGCCACTGCTGTCCATGGCTGGCACCAGTGGTGCTGCGGAAGGTTGGCTAGAGATGGCAGGAAGGGGCCACTGTGTAAAAGAAGCAGAAAAAATGGAGCGCGCCAGGGGCGGCGCTGGAGACGCCGCCCGGGGGGGGCCTCCCAGGGGCGCAACCGATTCTCGGTCGGCGTACTTGCCATGGCAGGCGGCGGGGAGCAGCAACGTTCTAGGGGAGGTCTTCGTGACGATGTTCATTATGAGGGTCCACGGGAACGTCGTAGCAGAAGCCGTAGCCACCATAGGGCACGGACGCGGGACACGGGCACGAGCCACCATAGGGCTCGGGACATGGAGCGGACCCCTGCCCATCATAGGGCCAGCGGCCGCTCCAGGAGCCACCATAGGGTTTCTGAAGGCCCGTTGTGTCCGCAATGCGGTATCCGTGGTCATCTTGCTTGTGATTGTCCGTCGGCGGCGAGTCCAGCAACCACACCAAAATCGTCCTCCGCAGCGCACGTGCCGCTCCTCCTCACGCCGAGGCAGCATCAGCGCCGTGATCTCCCGCAACCACCACCTCGCCCACACCCAGGTGTCACGCAGTTAAGATGCTGAAATAAGGACAACTTTGGGCTCGGGAGTGGCTCTGGATTTTGGGCCGTTCCTTTTTTGGGGGGCT